TAATTATTTTAGACTGAATTGTCACTCATTAGTTGGTGGATCATAAGATCAACATGGTGAGTCTCAGCATTCTTTTGAAATGAAATTAAAACAGAAAAATGTGGGGAGTGACTGTTTAACGGGTATAGGGTTTCTTTTAGAGGTGATGAAAATGTTGTGAAATTAAATAGTGGTAATGGTTGCACAACACAGTGAATCTACCAGAGCAATAAACTGGATACTTTAAAATGACTAAAATGGTGAATTTTATGTTATGTGAATTTTACTCAATTTTTAAGAAAAGCACAAAAAAAGAACACCCTAGGACCTACTGTACAGCACAGAGAACTATATTCAATATCTTGTAATAACCTACAATGGAAAAGAATCTGAAAAATAATAGATAGAGATATAAATAGAAATATAGATTATAATATGTATAACAATCACTTTGCTATACATCTGAAACTAACACATTGTAAATCAACTATACTTCAATTTAAAAAAAACATAATAAGTATATCACCACTAGTAGGGAAAAATATGTTTTGTAAACGTTTTCAGTTAAATATATGTTTGTGTGAACCTTATCATGATATAAAAATGTATTTATTACTATGGGTCAAGATAAAAAAAGTTTGAAAACCTCTAACCTAGTCCAGCCCCCTCTTTTTAAGACCTATAAGTAACTTGCTCAAGTTCCTAAAGTAGAATAGCTAAAAAGCAATGTTTCAGGAAAAGGAATATATATTGATGGTGCTTTTGAATTTGAGGATATTATCAGGGTGATGACCAGACCTCAGTGCACATGGTAAGATATTTAGAAACTGACCAAAAAAAAATTACAACAGGATGTCAAAGTTAACCACAAATGGTTGGTGGGATAAAGGATGGGTGTATGGGTGTGTGTGTGTGTGTGTGTGTGTGTGTGTATGGGTGTGTGTGTGTGTGTGTGTGTGTGTGTGTGTGTGTGTGTGTGTGTGAGATGTGGGGAGTGGAAATAGTAAAAATTGAAAATCATTAAATGAGATAAGGAATTTTCAACTGAATGATACCAGTTAATGGGTCAGCTGTGAAACCTGGATTGGTGAATTGAGAGGTTGCAGCAGCTGCGGGTATCATCCTAGTTCCCTAGAACAAGCAATTTCCTCTACCATGGAGAGGTGCATGACCTGAAATCAGTTCCCACCCCATAAATGTTTTCACCATCGAGTGATCTTAAAATTTTAGATGGCTGGAAAATAACACTTCTTAAAGTATTGGGGTGCCCAGACTAGATCTGTATTTTACTCAAATAAATTGGAAAGGAACTGTGAATATTACGTCCCCTCAAGGTATAATGAATCCTCCTAATTTCTTTCATTTGTCCCACTAATCCTGGTAACTCCTTATTCTTGGTGCACGTTTTTATAAACCTTAAGCGATTTTCATGTGAGAATATGTTCTAACTAGAGTACATGGAGGAAGGTATTTCTTTTGGATTCCCTTATTGGACCTAATGAGAGTTTCACACTTAGGTGGGGACACTTAGATGTTGCTGAATGACTTCCCAGGCAAATCATCTTAATACCATCTCTATGGGCCTGCCCTCCCTAAAGGCTATCCTTGGGAAAAAATAAATTCAGCAAATTGAATGCCTACTATGTGCCAGGCATGAGCTAGGATTTGGGAATACACTGGCATTATAGGAATTAAAAATTTTATGAGTAGCCGAGTTTTATGACATTCTTTTCTTTCTAATGCCTATTGTGGGGGAAAAAACCCTGCCTTTTTCATTGAGTTGACATTTGTACTGTTGGTGGTTAAAATTGCTAGTACCTTAGCTTGAATCTAGTACCAAATGCTACACTACTAATCTGCTAAAAGTCACTGTATTCTTCATTGCCACATTCTCAAAGAAAACGAACCATGGTCATTTCAATTAAGAATATCCTACAGTTTATTCATCCATCCAGTCCTCTATTCATGGGTGGTGTTGTTTCCAATCTTTTTCCTAATACAAACAGTATGCATGTCTTGTCCATATACATATTTTGTGGAATATCTCTAAGACCTGTTCCCAGAAGTGGGATGGTTAGCTGTAAGGGATAATGAGCATACTTATTTACTTATTATTTTTAATTGTGGTAAAATATATATAAAATGTATCATTTTAACCATCTTTAAGTGTACTCTTCAGTAGCATTAAGTACATTCACACCGCTGTGCAACTATCACCACCAGTCATCTCTAGAACTTTTTTCATCATCTAAGACTGAAACTCTGATCCATTAAACAGTAATTCCCCACTCCTCCCTTCCCCAGTCCCTAAAAACCTACCATTCTACTTTCTATCTCTCTATCAATTTGACTACTCTAGATACCTCCTATAAGTGGAAGCATATAGTATTTGAACATTTTTGTCTGGCTTTCTTCACTTAGCATAATGTCTTCAAGGTTAATCCATGTTGTAGCATGTGTCAGAATTTCTTTCCTTTTTAAGGCTGAATAATTTCCATTGTATGTATATACCACATTTTGTTTATCCAGATGGACACTTGGGTTGCTTCCACCTTTTTCTACTGTGAATAATGCTGCTATAAACATAGGTGTACAAATATCTGTTTGAGCCCCTGCCTTTTTTAAAAAATATATCTTTATTGGAGTATAACTGCGTCACAATACTGAGCTAGACCCTGTTGCACAACAAAATGAATCAGCCATATGCATATATACATCCACATATCCCCTCCCTCTTGAGCCCTCCTCCCACCCTCCCTATCCCACCCCTCTAGGTCGTCGCAAAGCACCGAGCTGATCTCCCTGTGCTACGCTGCTGCTTCCCACCAGCTAACTATTTTACATTTGGCACAGGACTCGTACTCAGATAACTATAAAACACTGATCAAACAAATCAAAGATGACATAAACAGATGGGGAAATATACCATGTTCTTGGATTGGAAGAATCAACATTGTGAAAATGACTATACTACCCAAAGCAATCTACAGATTCAGTGCAATCCCTATCAAATTAGCAATGGCATTCTTCACATAATTAGAACAAAAAATTTTACAATTTGTATGGAAACACAAAAGACCCTGAATAGCCAAAGCAATCTTGAGAAAGAAAAACGGGGCTGGAGAAATCAGGCTCCCTGACTTCAAACTATACTACAAAGCTATAGTAATCAAGACAGTATGGGGCTTCCCTGGTGGCACAGTGGTTAAGAATCCTCCTGCCAATGCAGGGGACAGGGGGTTGAGCCCTGGTCTGGGAAGATCCCACATGCCATGGAACCACTAAGCCCGTGCACCACAACTACTGAGCCTGCACTCTAGAGCCCATGAACCACAACTACTGAGCCTGCGTGCCACAACTACTGAAGCCCATGGGCCTAGAGGCCATGCTCCGCAACAAGAAAATCCACCGCAATGAGAAGCCCAAGCACCACAACAAAGAGTAGCTCCCGCTTGCCACAACTAGAGAAAGCCCACAAGCAGCAACGAAGACCCAACGCAGCTAAAAAAAAAAAAAAAAAAAGACAGTATGGTACTGGCACAAAAACATATGTCAATGGTACAGGATAGAAAGCCCAGAGATAAACCCACGCACGTAATGGCCACCTAATTTATGACAAGGCAGGAACATACAATGGAGAAAAGACAGCCTCTTCAATAAGTGGTGCTGGGAAAACTGGACAGCTATATGTAAAAAACTGAAATTAGGACACTACCTAACACCATACACAAAAATTAACTCCATATGGATTAAAGAGTCCCTGCCTTTAATTCATTTCCATATATACCCAGAAGTGAAACTGCTGGATCATATGGTAATTTTACATTTAACTTTATGAGGAATTGCTGTACTGTTTTCCATAGCAAGTACACCATTTCACATTCCCACCAATAGTACACAGGGTTCCAATTTCTCCAAATCCTCCCTCATGTTTGTTATATTCTGCTTGTTTGATAACAGCCATCCTAAGGGGTGTGAAGTGGCAGATAACTGTGTTTTGACTTGAATTTCCTTGATGATTACAGATGTTAAGCATCTTTTCATGTGCTCATTGGCTTATATGTATCTTCTTTGGCGAAACTGGCTTACATATCTTCTTCGGAAAAATGTCTTTTGCCCATTTTTGAACTGGGTTGCTTATTTTTGTTGTGTTGTTGAGTTGTAGGAGTTCTTTATGCATTCTAAATGTTAATCCCTCATCATATATATGATTTGCAAATATTTTCTCCCATTCCTTTGGCTGCCATTTCACTCTGTTGATTTTTGCACAGAAGTTTTTGATGTAGTCCAATTTATCAGGGTTTTGTTGTTGTTGTTTTACCTTGCTTTTGGTTTCATCTCCAAGAAATCAGTGCCAAATCCAATGTCATGAAGCATTTCCCATATATTTTCTTCAAGAGTTTTATAGTTTTAGCTCTTACAGTTAATTATCTGATCCATTTTGAGTTAATTTTTGTTTATGATGTAGGTAGGAGTATAACTTCATTCTTTTGCATGTGGATATCAAATTTTCCCAGCACTATTCCTTCCTTAGGGAATGGCCTTGGCACCCTTCTCAAAAATTATTTAACCATATATGTGAGGGTTTATTCTTGCACTCTATTCCATTGGTCTATACGTCTGTCTGTATGCCAGTACCACACTGTTTTGATTACTGTAGCTTTGTAGTAAGTTTTGAAAGTGAAGTGTGAGACCTCCAAGTTTGTTGTCCTTTTTCAAGATTGTTTGGCTGTTTGGGATCTATACTCTCTTTTATAGTTACCTGTATAGTTATCTTTACCAGTGCTCTTTATTTCTTCATGTGGATTCAAGTTTCTGCCTAGTATCCTTTATTTCAGTCCAAAGGACTCCCTTTATTATTTTTCTAGGGAAGTTTGCTAATGATAAATTACCTCAGCTTTTGTTTATCTGGGAATATCTTTTTTCCTCCTTTTTGAAGGATAGTTTTATTGGATATAGAATTTTTGGTTGATAGTCTTTTTCCTTCAGCACTCTGAATATTTCATCCTACTGCCTCTCACCTTTATGGTTTTTGATGAAAAATCTCATCCTTTGGATATGATGAGTCTCTTCTCTTTGCATTCAGGATTCACTCTTCTCTTCGCATTCAGGATTCTCTCTTTGTCTTTAGCTTTCAACAGTTTGATTATGATGTGTCTAGGGGAATTCATTGAGCTTCTTGGATGTGGAGATTAATGTTTTTCATCAAATTTGGCACATTTTCAGCCATTATTTTTTGAAATATTCTTTCTACCCCTATTTCTCTCTTCTTCTCTTCTGAGACTCCCATCATTCATGCATTGGTATGTTTTATGATGTCCTGTACATCTCTGAGCCTGTTCATTTTCTGCTTCATTTTTCTTTATATGACTCTGACTGGATAATCTCAATAAACTGTTTTCAGGTTCACTGATTCTTTCTTCTATCTACTGAAATCTACAGTTGAGCCTCTGTAGTAAATTTTGATTTCAGTTATTATTCAACTACAAAACTTCTTCTACTTGGTTCTTTTCTATAATTTCTATTTTTTATTTGGTAAGACATCTTTTTCATACTTTCCTTTAGTTCTGTAGACATGGTTTACTTTAGTTCTTTGAACATACCTAAAATAGCTAAAGTTTTGTCTACTAAGTTCAACATCTGGGCTTTCTCAGGGACTATTTCTATTGATTGCTTGGCTTTTTCCCATGTATAGGGGTCATACTTTAATGTTACTCAGCATGTCTTGTCATTTTTTTCTTGAAAACTGGACATTTTGAATAATATAAAATGGCATCTCTGGAAGTCAAATTCTTCACCCCAGCCTCAGTGTTTATTGTTGCTACTTGTTGTTTTTGTTGTTTGTTTAGTGACTTTTCCTAAAGGTATAAAGTCTGTATTCCTTGACATATGTGACCACTAAAGTCTCTACTCAGTTAGCTTAGTGGTCAGCTAAGGATTGGAGAGAGATTTCCTTAAATGCCAGAACCAGGAAGTCTCCCAGTTTTTGCCAAGGGTCTCTGTGAGCATGTTGGAGCATTCCTTCAGTGCTCAGCCAGGCAACTGACAACTATACCCGAGTTTTAATTTCCTATTTTCACAGAGCCTGAAGGTCAGCCAGAAGACAGAACTTAGGGCCTTCTTATGTTTTTCCTGATCATGTGCACAGCCCTATGCATGTACATGGACTTCTAGATTCCCAGGAATATGTCAGAGTTTTTTAGAATCCCTATGGACATCTCATTCCCTAGCTTTTCTTAGCCTATTGTTTGCCCCGACTGTTTTCTAATGTTTCCAGTAGCCACAAAGTTAAACAATTCCATCTAAATTTTTTTTTTTAATGTTCCTTGGGAAAGACTTTTTGCACTGAGTGAGCTCTGAGTCAGGTAAAATAAAGACAGTCCTGCAAGTCTTTAAGGGAACCACCAGAAAGGTCAAATAATGACATTTTGCTGGAAATAAGGCTTTGAAGCAACTCCAGCCCCATTCTGCTCCCTCCTGTGGTTTCCAGGCTTCTTGTTTTCACTGCGATTGCAGGCTGTTGGTTTTCAAGGCTACCACAGAGCTGGAAAGAGAGGCATGGGAATAGGACAGATTAAAGCTTTACAAAGCTCACTGCCCTTTCTGAAATTAAGCTATTTTTCATAAATGCTCCCCAGGTTGCTGCAAGCATTTTGTTAATTTCTATAATTCTGAAAAACTTCATTCTTACATTTTTTTTCCAGTTTTCTCATTGCTTTTATAAAAGAGAGAATTCTGGGAGGTCATTATGCCACCATTTTGCTGTCTCCTAGGTCTCTAATCTTTAGTACACATCTTTTTAATATTCTGTGTGATGAAACGGAAGAACATATAAAGCATTTCTGCATATTGAAGTACAATGGTTGCCTCAAATACAAGCACTTGTAGAATTGTTTCAGTTGCAAACTGAACTAGCTGCTTTTTTCATGGAACACCATTTTTACTTGACAGAATGATAATGTTATTCAGACATGAGTATTTGGCAGATATTTTCTTGAAAATGAATGAAGTGAGCCTGTCATTTCAAGGAAAACAACTGACAATTTGATACCAATGGTAAATTTCAAACTTTCAAGCAACAATAACAATTGAGGAATGCTTGTATCTATTACAAGTTTGACAACTTACCAGTACTTACATTTTTCTGATGAGATTGGTGATGATGTTAACGAATGTAATCTTTTGATATGACATAACGAAATGTGTCAGTCTTTGGAAAATCTGCATTATTTCATGAACCGTTATTTTCCAATGATCAATGCATGATTTTAACCAAAATCATGATTTTTACTAAAATCATGCATTGGTAAATGATTCTTCAAAGTTTAAGATAGATCAATAGATTTTAATATAAAAGAATATAAAATAGATACATTGTAGATATGGTTTCAGATTTCACATTTCAACTAACCTTCAAGAAACTACCACTTATCAAGTTCTGGTAGAATATCAAAGAAGAATATCCACAATTATCTGAAAAGGATACTAAAATAATCTTTTTTTCCAACTACATATCTTTTTAAGGCTGGATTTTCTTCATACAGTTCAGCTAAAGTAACACTTTAATAGACTGAATATAGAAGCAAATATGAGAATCTAGCTATCTCCTATTAATCCAGACATTAAAGAGATGTACAAAAGTGTAAAACAGTACCGCTCTTCTCACTAATTTTTTGTTTGGAAAATAGTTATTTTTCATTAAAAAAATGTTTATTTATATTAACATATAATGGATTTATTGTTTTAAGGCAATTAACACATAGTTTTAAAATTTATATTTTAATTCCTACTATGTTAAATATCAAAAGCTGTAATGCACATAAATATAAGTTCTTTAAAGCCCTTAATAATATTTAAAAGTACAAAAGGGTCCTGAGTCTGAAGCGCCTGAGAACTGCTTATTGCTAGTTTTTCTAAGATCAAAGCCCTAACCACAAACTGGAAAATATAAAGGTGGCTATTGTTTACTACTTAATTCAGTTGCCCATATTTAGTCCCAATATATTTTTGTGACCCATGTCCAAAGTCTGCCAATTCTCACAAGAATGATGGTCAGAATTATTTAATCTGCACAGAACATTTTATGCTAAGCCTTTCTTCTTCTTGAATAGGCCATGCTTTTCTATCTCACTGCCTTTGTGCAAAGTTGTTACCTCTGCCTGGAAAGCTCTCCCAGCCCTTCTCCTAACAATTCATATTTATTCTTCAGATCTCAGCTCAAATATCACCACCTCAGGGAAGCCTATGCTGATCTAGTCCTTCCAAATCTCTTATATCCCCCAGATTTCATACTCCGTAATTTCTCTCATAGGTCCATGCACTTTTCTTTTATAGCACGTATCACAATTGTAAATGTGTATTTTTGAGATTGATTAATGCCTTTATCGACCTCTAAACTTTAGCTCTACAAGGGCAAGGTTGTTTTGTTTTGTATTGTTTGCTTACCATTTTTTCCTCAATATGTGTTTGGCAGTGTACATATGCAGAATGAGTCAAGTATTTTCCAATATGAAAACCACATGTTGAGGCAAAGATGAGTACATTTTGTTGATTGTCCCATCATTTTAAATAGTTTTTCAAATTACCAACCATGAGTTATGAGAGATCTGTTGAAAAGAGTTTCTATCGTATGGGCTGCCAAGTGAAACGATATCTCAGCAGTACAATCATTCTGAAAGAAATTAGATCGCTTGATTTGCTCACACAGATGCCATTTCACAGAACTTTCTCCCAACTCATGCTTCTTAGTTTCCAAGCTTTTTAAAAAATAAAATACGAAAAGACTTTTTACTAATGGTTAGGTTGGGTCTTTCTCTAAAAATATATTTTATTAAATGCAGGAGGAGATTGGATTCATGATGTATTATTTCTTTGGGGACTAATGACACTTCTTCCAACTTCAGAAATTGTTTTTAAGACCGCAGAAGTATCAGATTAAACTAATGTGGTGACTACCTCAGGACAGTAATATTTTATTCTATTTTCCTTCCAAGAATGTAACTGTTAAAAATTACTACAGTTATTTATTCTTCACTTTACAATTTATTAACTGAGGGGATCATATTTCATTCTTCTTCCATGTGAGTAACTTTTTTGTGTGTTTTCATGCAGCAGAGACAAATAGTTTTTCATTTGAGAACTCTAGACTTTGGTCCTGTTTTAATTAGGAGACTTTTGAGATTTGGATGAAAGCAGCATATTGTCCTTTCGGATAGTCAGGCAATACTTGCAAGATCTGTCTAACCATAAGAGTTACAAACCCCTTTTAGATAATAAGTCTAGTATACTTTAACAGCAGTGCTTTCAGAATTTATAGGCTTTACTTTAGAGCACTCAGTGTTGATCTTATTGCTGATCTCAAATGGTTTTGTTTTACACAGAAACAAATGGATATCAATGCTGCTATTCAAGCCCTGATTGAATCACATACTGCCCTACAGATGGAGGTAATATATCTGGCTTTATTTACACTAGCACTCTCAATCTACAAATTAAACAGAAATTTTTTTCAGAGGCCCAAATGTGACTTTATCTCAAAGCCTGTATTTAAAAGAGATTAAAAGTAATGAAAAAAATTTTAAGGACAGAGTAAGCAATTTTAATAAACAGAAATATATGCATCAGATGTTTTTTAAGGAAAACATTTAAAACAAAAATGTAATATTGTTAAAGGATTTTTTAAAATGAGAATTTGGTACTATAGAAGAAACAGTTAAATGAAGTTAGCCATTTCTTAAAATGGGATCTATCTATCATCACTACTCTTTTTTCCTATTTAAGCTCTGTTTATTCATGATATAGGTTTTTTTCAAATTATGCAGTAGGCATAGTAATTAAGTTTTATGTCAGCTTGAAAACTAGACTTTTGAGTGTGAATTTAAGCTTTTATTAGGATCAAGATTAATAAAACATACAAATATGCCTATAGTTAAATATAAACTGTTCTTTACATCCTGCTCCCAACTCCTTGCACACAACAGGAGTACATTTTTCTTCTGCCTTGCTCCGTGTTGATCATTTGGGTTACATGCTGGTAATGACTACTCCAAGCTTCTTTGCTAATATGATTCTCACAATGACTTGGCAGAGCTACCAGAATACTGAAGTGACCTTAATTGACCACAGTGCAGAGGTATTCGAAACCTTGAACTACCTTAGCAATTTACTGCACAGCATCAAGAATCCTCTTGGCACACGAGATAACCCAGCACGAATCTGCAAAGATTTGCTTAACTGTGAACACAAAGTATCAGATGGTAAGTTACTGGTTTCCTTAAACTCTGATATCTAATTTTGCTTCATCGTCTCAGTGTGTTTGAGATTTGCGGTGTATTTATTCCAAACCTTATCATTTTTGACGAATCCCTGGCAGAGGCATTTTAACATCAAGAACCAAATACGTACTCAAAGAGGCAAACATGTTTCTGAGGTCAAAGTATCCTTTCTCAAGGGTTCACTTTACAAAAGGTTTTCCACTGCACAGCCTGACTTATGGCAACATGAAGAGGTCATAGAGCCCTCTCTACCACACCCTCTATAATTAGTTTTTACATAAAATGGAATTTAAGTGCCTCATTTCAGTATCAGTGACTATAAAGATGGAGTGGCTTGTCATTCTTGGAATTTTCTCATCCTCACATTGATACCCCAAATCCATTAGCCAGAGGTGCAAAAACAGAACCATCAAGGAAAGGTTTAAAGCAAGTGGAAGAACCATCACTATCTGATGATAAGTAGGGGAAACCCTGTCTGCTACAACATGTCATTTAATTTTAATTTCTATTGGGTCTACCTGGTCAGCTGTACAATCAATATTAGTAGTTATCATTTTTTGGTAAAAACTCTAGTCTTAACACACAATGACATATATGCTGATTTGAAAATAACTAAGTTATTTAATTCTGCAGGATGAATAGTAGTCCATATTTTATTTTATACACATACACATATACATATGTATGTATAAATACATGTTTGTCCAAAAACATCTTCCATTCTAGAATAAAGTATAGTGAAAATATTCATTTTATTTACATTAATAAAATGCTTAACTTCTATAGATATTTCCTGCCCTAGATTATCACAAAAACAAATAATATTTACAGTTATAGCTGCCTACAATAATTCAAATTTGATTCTTTCCCATATTTGAGGGTATAAAAATGCAATTCTATAGAACTGAAAGGAACAAAGACACTACAGGACATACAAATTACTGAAATCTAATTCAAGGTCTGCCTTCCTCATAGGAGAAATAGCTAAGTGGTATGGCTCGTAAGGTATCAGAAAGGTCTTTATGCCCCAAAATACTTTCATCACTAGGAGATTGTAAGTGCAGTAGAGAAACACAAAACAGCAGGGAAGAGGGGATATGACAGAAAGTAGGGTGGGGGGTGAAGTGGTAAACAGAGTAGGTAGATGAAGCATCTCTGAGAAAGTGACATTTGAGCAATATCAGAAGGAGGTGAGGGAACAAGCCACAGGAAATCTGGGGAAAGAGCTTTCCAGGAAGAAAGAACAAACGCAAGGCCCTTGAACCTGAGCGTGTACTTAGCATGTTCTACTATTAGCAAGAAGGCCAACGTGACTGGAAGAAAGTGCATAAGGGGAAGAATGGTAGGAAATGAAGTCAGAAAGATGTCAAGAAACCAGATTATACAGGATCTTATAGATTACTCAAAAGACTCCAGCTTTTACTGAATAAGATGGGAAGCCTCGGGAAGATTCTGGGCAAAGGAGTGACGTGACTTGACTTAAATTTTTAAAATGTTACTCTGGGTGTTGTACTGCAAATATGAGGACAGGGTAGAAGGAGACATTGAGAAGACTATTGAAATAATCCAGTAAGAGATGATGATGGCTTGGACTAGAGTTGGTGGTGGGGAAGTGATAAGAAATGGTCAAATCTTTGGATATGTTTTAAGGTAGAGCCAGCAGTTTTTTGTTGGTAATTCGGATGTGGGTTATGAGAGAAATAGAATGATAAAGGATGACTCTAAGATTTTTGACTAAGGGACTAGAAGAGTGGAATTGCTGTCAAAAGAGATAGAGAAGCAAGTTTGGAGACAAGATCAGGAGTTCGGTTTTGGATGTATTTAATTTGAGATGTCTGTTAGGCATTCAAGTAAGGATGTCAAGTAGGTCATTGGCTACTCAGGAGTGTGAGGTCCTGGCTAGGGGTAAAATTTATGAAGTCACTTGCATATAAACAGTATCCAATGCCCTGAGACTGTTTAAGGCTATCTAAAGAACAGATAAATAAAGAAAAGAGAAGAGTTCTAAAAACCGTGCCTTAGAGCTCTCCAATGTTTACAGAGGTCAGGGAGTTGAGGGGGAACTAGCGAAGAAGACTAAGAAGCAGCTTTCACTGAGATAAGAGGAGAACTAGATGAATGTGGAGTGAAGAAAATGTTTGCCTGAGGAGCAGGGGATCTGCTGGGTCGATGTCAAGTTAGGTGAAGACTGAGAAAGGCTACTAGATTTAGTAACGGGAAGGTCTTTGATGATATTCGCAAGAGCGGTTTAGAGGAATGGTAGCAGTTAAAAGTGTATCAGGTTTTCAGAGAAAATGGTGGAGCTGGAGAGTTTCCACTCCCATTAATGAAGCAGGTAATTCAATTTGCCTGACGAAACTTTTTGAAAATTAAGTTAAAAGCATCAAATACTGACAAAGTAGTGAGGGACTTTCAAGCCAATATTCTGAAAAAGACAGCAGAGAGATGAACACATACTTAGAGCTACTTTTGCCCTGGGTGTGTTCAGAAACTGAGTAGTGCTTTTGGTCAAAGTTGGAATCTGAAGTCCACAAAAGGTGGGGACTTAGGCTTTCAAAGGGCTCCACTTTAAGAGTAAAAATAAACGGAAAGAAAAGATACTCGTACAGATTGCAGCCTAGCTTCACATCGTCAAGACGGCTCAGAAAATCTCAAACTGTGAACTTGGATTAAGATGATTCCAGACTGCTAGTAGCCCCTCATACCTGATAGAAACAAACAAAACTCTTCTATGAAAGATAATATCATCCTAGGGCTCAAATTATTTCCACAAATAATTTTTCAAATATAGTGCCCAGCACACAATCAATGATAACTAAGCACACAAGTTGACAAAACACCACGAATGAGAACTGGCAGAAACAGCAGACAACAGAAGCTGACTCGAAAGAAAAAATAAGAGAGGAAAAATTTGAAATGGAAGGTTTAACGGACAAGGTAAACCTTATTTAGGAACACGGTTTATTCACAATAATAAGAGAGAAGGCAGAATACATGTGTGCTAGTACAGATAGATGGGTAAAGGTCATAAAGGGAGCTTATGTAAGTTTCCTTCAGTTTGCTTTAGTTGTCTCAGTGAAACTGAAAGGTTATCAGTCAAGAATAAGAATGAAGGAAAGGTATAGTTAACTTGAGAGGATAGGAAGAGGTTTCAAATGGTTAACTCTGAAAGTGACAGAGGAAATGAACTAGGGAAACATAGTAGTACTGTCTGGCAGCCTTTCAAACATTTAAATTTAAAGTGAGGCCAGTCAGCATAGTTGTGTTTTTCTCTAGGCACATTTAGTTGTGCAGGTACAGGCACAGATTAGGCACAAAACTGGATTTATGCAGGACTGGGATTTTATAAGACAAGCACAATGAAGTGAGGCAGGGCAAGAATGTTGAGGAAGTCTCTAAGGAAATGATCATAGCAAAGGACTGTGGGTTTTAAGCTAGGCAGGAAGAGAAGTGAACACATGATTACGAAGGACAATGAAAAAGTGGTAGTGTCAATGGATAGTAGGTCCTAATGAGATCAAAGAATTATTAGGGTCAGAACACTAGAGGGAATGAGCTGGAATGAGAAAAGAGGTGAAATCATGGAGGAGATCTAGCTGTAGGTAATAACAAAAACTAGGGTATGGCCTTATAAGTTAATGATTAAAGTAAACAGGACAGGAGAAGGGTACAAAAACGTTGGTGGGAGAGAGTTCGAGGCACTGAGAAGTCGGTATTGCAAATATCAACCACGTGGATGTGAAAATCACGAAGAATTAGGTTATAAATAGATTTTCTGAAAGTGATAGCTAGAATCATCAAAGAAATAAATTTGGTGATAGCAACAGGAAGAGGTACAGGTGACATAGTGCAATGACAGCAATTTTACCACGGAGTGTTTTTAGGGAGAAAGTGGGGAGAACGGTCTGAAAGTGGCAACGAGGAGCAAGAAAGATCCCTTCCCCACCCAGGCACAATGCTATAGAGGCTGTGGCAGAACTTGAAAGAGCTGCAGGGGAAGCAGTGTTCTCAGAAGAGAGCCAATTTGGAGTTAGAGCATTTAGGCCTATAAAAGACGTATTATGGTATAGTGCTTTATCTGTAGCTCAGCATACCCTGAAAAAAATACGAAGCCCCTACCAGTTCACCATTGTACACCATAATGCCTCAATTCAAAGCACTCCACCCCATGTAACAATGAGACCTTGCTTGAAGGAAAACGTTTTATAAAGAATATATTCACTCACATAGTAGTAGGAAACTATTTCTTGAAAGAGAAGAGATGATGAATCAAGATATGACTGTAAGCCTGGATCAGATCCTGGTTTAAAAAAAAAACAAAAACCCAGCTATAATTTCTACAAACTACAAAATGTTCAACATTCTGAGGAAATGGGAAAAAACAGGATGGAGGTGGTATTAGGATCTTTTTCACCCCTTTCTTCCATATATCAATAGATCAGTGATTCTCCAAATACAGTCCGTGGACCAGAATTAGATGCAGATTCCCAAGCCCCATCCCAGATTTAATGATTCAGCAACTCTTGGGATGGAGTCCAGCTATCTGGACTGTCTGTGACAGTCCCCTACTCTTGGAAGTACCAATTCAACAAGTCTTCCCTTTGAAGAATTAGTAGAATAGTAGAGGGAAGAATAGTCGAGGATGTTGTGGAAGTCTAAAATGATACACCAGGTGAAGCCCAGGATGAGCTGGAGGAATCTTTGCTGTGGGATAGGAATGGAACAAACAAGGATTTCTACCTATTACAGAAAATGACATTTTACAAATACTGTTTGATTGTCTTGCCTTTTTAATGCAAGAAGGCAGGGCCATCTCATTCAAAAATTCCTGCCCTTTGCGTTTAGAATAAGGTGCTATTTCAGTATTCTGAGCCTGTTATTCTGGAATTAAGACGCTAGCCCAGTACTTTTCAGTCTGAATATGTCTTGAAGTCTTTTACACACCATTTGATTCTCCTGGGCACTCAATGGAGGCAAAGGTTGGCAGGCTTACACTGGCTGTAGAGATTTCAGTTTTTTCCACTTACAGATCTGAAAAGAAAGCACAAAAATAACCATTTAATTGCACATTTCTCTTCTGGAAACAAAAAAATGTTTATTCCTTTTATTTTAATTATCAATATTACACATAAAGATATGTTATGTTTTTCCTCAGGGAGATTGAAGAAGTTGTTTCTGTTTTTTAAATATATATATTCATTTTTAAGCTCTGTAATGACATAGAACAAAAATACACACATATCCTATATTAATTTCAACTTTTAACTATGTAACTTTAGACAATTCACTTAAAGTTGCTGCGCTTATCTATAGAATGAAGCAACAGATTCAGCCATTCGGTTATTTTTTATTAAAATTATAAAATGCCCTTAAATTGATAGGTATGTGAAAAATACAGTATTTTCAGTATTGGTTTTACATAATGCTTGCAGCTTTCATTCTTTGACTAAATGTAAATATCTTTATAATCTAAGTTTTTTAAAAGGAAAAAGCGTGAAAAAATATATTGAAAGTATCATGATAATCTGTAAGGATAGTTCAAATATATTTTAGCATGGCATTTAAATATCTTTATGTTTTACAATAAATTAATAGGAAAATACTGGATTGATCCAAATCTTGGATGCCCTTCAGATGCCATTGAGGTTTTCTGCAATTTCAGTGCTGGTGGTCAGACATGTTTATCTCCTGTCTCTGTGACAAAGGTATGTTTTGAATTTAGTACTTGCCCACTATCAGTAAACAGTGATTTTAAAAATTCTTTCATTTTAAATAATTATGAGTTTTATGAATGGAAGCAAAGATATTCTCTACCATATATGAGGAAGAAATTTTTTGTTTTTAAAAAATAATCCTGTTAAATCTTGACATTTTGATTATGTATTTTTATGACTGGCTTAGCTTGGCTTACTCTACTGACTATGCTTTTTAAATTCCTTTTAAAAATGTAAAACATATGTTTTTATGCACATGCATTCATTAGAAAATTCCCAAACAGCTGCAGTGTTTGTACTCAGTAATCAGTTACCTTAAGTTTTACTGAAAAAGACATCATCATGATTAAAAGAGGAATTTCACCACAAAGCTTGCTATTTTTGGTGACTGGGCACAAAAATAACCGCTCCTAAACATCCACTGGATATTATTTAAAATTTCTTACAAGCATAATTCTATAAACCAAATGTTTAGAATGAATGAAAGTTAGTTTGGTATGTAACACTGGATATTATAACAAGCATTTCTAAACCCTAAAGCTTAGTTCTACCTACAACATGTACTGAAGAAACTAAAACTGCATTTCTTTCTTTTTCTGGTTAAACTACCTTGGCCTTCCCAAGAACTTTTCTCATTGACAAAGAACTGATACACGGACCTATTGTGTGTTTTGTCCACCACAGAAAGGCAGCAGCTAAAATATGCAGTGTGTCAGTCCCTCCCAGCTGCTTATCATTAGACTGCCCTCTCCCCCTAAAACGCTCCCCTTCGTTAACTAGGGTGTTTCACCAGCTCATCTCAATAGCCATTCACCACTGTTACCCAAAGCAGAGGAGGGGCGGATTCTTATGTTCCTATGGGATCTGTGGAACTAATGAGGAGCAGCATGATCGTCCTGCTTCCAAACTATGCACGATCATCCTCACTCCCCTGGGTTTAGCCCAGGATTTTTTTTTTTTTTTTTTTTTGCGGTACGTGGGCCTCTCACTGTTGTGGCCTCTCCCGTTGCGGAGCACAGGCTCCGGACACGCAGGCTCAGCGGCCATGGCTCACGGGCCTAACCACTCTGCGGCATGTGGGATCTTCCCAGACCGGGGCACGCACCCGTGTCCCCTGCATCGGCAGGCAGACTCTCAACCGCTGCGCCACCAGGGAAGCCCCAGCGCAGGATTTTTATTTGGATTATCGTGGAAGAAAAGGGGAGACTGGTGTGCAAAGAAGACAGGATCAAATGAAGGAGCTGCACTCCAGTTCTTTCCTTGGCTGAATCAATTCTCCCATCTCTCCTATCCATAAACGCAACCTGAGAAAGACTGCGCAGGTAGTGGAAAGAACAGCAGACTTGCAATCTGGAACCTGGATTCTAATTTCTTTTCCCCTACAAACCTGGGGAATGATGCTGTGAGCCACCAGAGAGCCCACTCTGTGCCAGGTGCTGTGCTAGCTGAATGACAGTGGGCACCTCACATCCTCATAACAACCCTGTCATGTCGGGGTTACACCCAGCTTTACCAACAAAGAAACTAAAGCTCAGAAAGGCTACATACGTCACAGGTTTGTGGTTCTCATCTGCAAAATGAAGGAATGTGAATTACTTCAGCTCTAATATTCCTCATGATGATCCTTCCATGTTTTCATCTTTATACTCTTCCTTTGCCTTTCCTCTCTTTCCCTGAAGTTTTGCTTTTTTGTTGTCATTTTATTTTTTTTCCTTCTCTGTTACCTCATAACTGATATTTCTCTGATTTTGTGTTTGGAGATTAACATAAATTCCTCAGTAGGAACTACTTCTATTCATTTATGTTATGACCATCCCCATGCTTGAATAATGCTAAAATAATGATGATGATGATGATGATGATGTCTAAAGCTATAGAAAAATCTGTTTCCTTGTTCAAGCCTAGAAAACGTGCAGTCATACTTCCTTGCTCCAGTGTTGCCCTATATCGTTCACTTTATTAGTAAATACTTGCTCACACATTCATTCATTCATGCAATAAACATTTACTGATGACTCACTGTATGACTGAACTGCATTAGGGGCTGGCAACACAAAGACTAAGATTCTGTCTTTGTCTGTAAAGGCTCTCATAGTTAAAATTAATCAATTTATTAATACAACTTTTAACTTATCTTTGGAAACTCAAAAATAAATCTTCAAATGAAAGTATAGACAGAATTTCAGATTTTTATGAAAAAATTTTAAGCAATAATCAACAACAAATTATTAATGCATCTTAAATAACATTATGCAAAGTATCTCCTTTTTTTTTTGTTCATATCTAGTAGCCTAGCAGTATGCTAAAGCCAGCTCATACTGCTCAGGAGAGCCTATTATTAATGTCTCTTGTGAACTCCATGTTTAATGACACTACCTTGATAGCCTAAAACCAGCCATGGTGGGAGTATTTACAACTCCCACCATAGGGGTGGAAATCAGAAAATGCTATAAATCAGGGATTCCCCCCTGCCCCACCCCTGGCCTGTCAAGGACTTTCTTCAGGTTTCCCCAAACTGTAAGGCTTTCAATTGCCATATCTTATAACTTGCATATTGTTTCAATGACATTAGTTGGAGTTTGGAGTTGGAAAAGTCCAGATGAACTTCCTTCATTTACTGAGCTCAGAAGCCACCCATATCATCACCATTCATTGTCTAAACACTCCAGTGTGGACAAGTGCTCAGACAAGTGGCTCAGGATTGACTATTGGTTTCAAGGGATGGAATAGCCAGATTTTCGAAGAAAACACTCTACTTGAACCTAAAGTGCTTTCAGATGACTGCAAGGTAAGGGAATGGCACTTTTAGAATTGTTCAATATAACTAACGTAAAATTGATAAAACTATATAAAATTAATATAATGAGTAAGACTTTAATTGCAAACCACAGATACAGAAGGGTAGTAAGTTTTAACGTGCCTGATGTGTAATAACCGTACATTTTTCAGAGTCAATTATTTGCTTATATCATATCAACTTTTGTCACACCCATTGTTCATCCGTGAAGTTTTATATGCAAAACAGGTGTTAATACATAAATTTAATTTTTATTCCCCATATGAAATAATTATATCATAGATCGATGGATGGATGGATAGATAGACAGATGGCAGATAGGGCATATAGACAAATGATTTCTTTCCTATATTTTTAGCACTGTGATTCTGCATCTCATTACATCATGGAAGGCAGGTTATAGAGGCAAGTCAGCTTTATTTCATTTTGTCAGTCCCTATACCTGATACCAAATAATGGGCATAATGGCAGATTGACTGACCCTACAAATCTGTATTTGAATCATAGCCCATTTTTCCTATTAAAATTAAATAATAGTGAAGAGTCTGTAATTTTAAAACATTACGTTGTGGAGTAGGTGTCGCAAACTATAATCCACAGACCAAATCTAGCCCAGCACTCGTCTTCGTACATATATGCTACTGGAACACAGACACACTCATTCGTTTGTTTATTATCTAGGGCTGTTATCACACTACAATGGCTGAGTTGAGCAAGTGTGACAGAGACTGTATGGCCCACAAAACCTAAAACATTTATTATCTAACCCTTTACAGAAGAGTTTGCTGACTCCTGTTATATAGTATAGGGTTGTCCCCTTTACATACATCCTAATTTCTTTAAGTAGCTCGGTTTCCTGTTCTGGTGTACTATGAAGCCCATGATTTAGGATCTCTTACCATTTCTAGGGTGCTTTACCTTTTCACATTTCATTTTCAGATAAACAGCTCTTGGGTATTTGAAAAATCATAAGCAAACAGAAGTATACAGCTCACTCTCTATAGGTGAAGAGATCAATCAATATTACCAACAAATTAATTTAACTTTCACAATTTTGTCCTGAAACTTTTAGTGACTCACTACTATCTCTGAGACACAATCAAAACTTATCAGCTCTTTATTCAGCAGTTAGAATAGTCAGGCCCCAAACCTACCTTTCTACCTTTCACTGACTGTGTACCCTAAAGTGTGGTCCACCTGATCTATCTATAATAATAATAACAACAAAAACAACAATTCCTACTACTAATTATTGGAGACTTATTAGATGACACGTACCATGTACTGCATACATTATTTAATTATAACAGCTTTGTGAAGAAGTTCCTATTAGTATCATTTTATAGGTAAGAAAGTGAAGGCACAGAGGTTAAGTAACTTGTTCAAGGTCATACAGCTAATTAGCAGAGGAGCAAGAAATCAACCCCAGGTGTGTACAGTTCCAAAGTCAATGCCATGCTACACTGCTAGGGACTTTTAATTGAAGACTCATTTAATTCACACAATACTGTGAGGTAGGT